CAGTATTTTATACCCATTAATAATGATGAAATGCAATAATATCACTGCACTAAAAAGACTTCAAACAATTATTGTTACTTCTCCATTGAAGGTTATGAGCAGACCAACCTTTACTGGCTTCCTTAATTATTACATGTACTTGCTCTGAAAACATAGCTTTTACAATTGTTTAAATTAACAGATGTTGTTCTATGTACAATGAATACATTTTAAATAATAAACCTTACTGTATTAATAAAAAATTGTATTTGACAACATGAGAATGATTCTGATGCCCAGTGGTGATGTTGAAACAAACCCAGGTCCTGGTAATATACTAAGACCTGATTAACAAAGAAGTCATGTACATCAAGGTTCACTCAGATTTATGAATGCAGTTTCTTGAGCAAGTATACATGTATGACAAATAGTTTTGTTGCACTTGTGTACTCTGAGATTCTGAACATGGGTCAGTGGAAGTTTTTAGTTGTCAGTACAAAACTAGATTATGGGAAATCACTTTATGATGAGTTGTACCCACATAGAGTACATATTCATTCACCTGTTTGCAGATGTTCCTTGTACTACTTTATAATCAAATAACGGGGACTGTGACATTTCATGTATTGTTTGATATGAAAATCAAAAATGAGTTCATTTTATTGATATTTCAGCTCACTTACAGGGATTCTTCCAGATAGGTGAACCTGGGAGGGGGTGTTTATTTTCGTGGTATTCCAACTTTTGCAGTAACATGACTTTTACATGACAATTTACACACTTTATTTTATTGAAGTTATTATTTTATATGCAAGTCTAGGTTGTTTAAACTTCATTATGGGACTCAAATTTCTTTACAGCAAGTTATTTGAGATTTTGTGAGCATTTTTCACTACTCAGTTATTTTGTCAAGTTCAGAAATGTACAGAGTGTCTGCACAGCAGCAGTAGGAGCTAAAGTTTTTTGATTTTTTTGGTGAAATTTGATTTTTGAGAATTTTGTTGCTGTTATTTCAAAATCAAAATTGTCAACTCAATGGACATCTTGTTTATGTATTACAAATTAAATCTAAGGAAGTTGATCACAAAGGAATGCTGGTGTAATTTGCATACAAATATGGATTACTGGTTTAATTTGCATACAAATATGGAATACTGGTGTAATTTGCATACACATATGAAATACTGGTGTAATTTGCATACAAATATGGATTACTGGTATAATTTGCATACAAATATGGAATACTGGTTTAATTTGCATACAAATATGGAATACTGGTGTAATTTGCATACAAATATGGAATACTGGTGTAATTTGCATGCAAATATGGAATACTGGTGTAATTTGCATACAAATATGGAATACTGGTGTAATTTGCATACAAATATGGAATACTGGTGTAATTTGCATACAAATATGGAATACTGGTGTAATTTGCATACAAATATGGAATACTGGTGTAATTTGCATACAAATATGGAATACTGGTGTAATTTGCATACAATATGGAATACTGGTGTAATTTGCATACAACGAGTGATGCAATGTAATTTCTGCTACCAAGGTGACAGACACTTAAATATGTAATCAAAATCAAAAATAAGTTTATTGAAACTGTCATAGCTCCATTCACAAAATGAAGTTTATATGCATTGTGGCATTACCATGGTAGATTTGGTACTTCCATGGTGCATTGTAATATCATGGTGCATTGTGGTAATGCGAGGGTGCATTGTGGCAATTCCATGGTGCACTTTGGCAATCCCATGGTGCATTTTAATGCCATGGGATATATTGTGGCAATCCCATGGTGCATTTCAGTAATCCCATGGTGCATTGTGGTAATCCAATGGTGCATTGTGGTAATCCCATGGTGCGTTGTGGTAATGCCGTGATGCATTGTGGTAATGTTTCTGTGCAAGTGATGTCATACTACTTTAGTCTCATTAGTTTCATGTATGTTCATTGTCATAATGACTAATACAAACTATAGACAGCCTGAGTAGCAGTGTTCACTTCCTTGTTAATCACAACACATTCTTCACTCATTATGTTCAATGACTCTTTAAATAGTCATCGTTCAGATGTAGCCTGAAAACAGGGACCTCTGGGGGGGGTGCGTGCGTGTGTGTTCCATAGATATCTCAAAAAACAATTATTACACTTTAATGAAACTTGGTACATAGATGCTCTGGAGTAAGGCTTAGATCTGATTAGTTTTTGGTTGAAATTCATGCATATTAATTACTAATATGTAGGTGTTCCACAGATACATGTATCTTGAGTAGCACTGATCAAAGTATAATGAAACTAGGTACATAGGAGATTTTAAATAATTCTCAGATCTGATTATTTCAGAGTTGAAATCCATGCATATTAATTACTTGTTATTATTGTTTTTTAATATGCATAACTGTAATGTACTAGTACTCTTGCATATAGGGAGGATTATGCAACCTTTGCTATAATTGTGTTGTCTGATAATTTATATATACATGTACAAAAAATTTAGGTCATATATGGTCATTATTTCATTAAATATATATAATTGTTAAACTATAGCTACTTGAAACCACCCTAATTATTGCTTGCAGTTATATTTTTAAATACTATATTTGCTCTATTATAGGCAGATGTGCTTACTGTGAATATAAATGACAGACAAGTCTATGGGCAAAATAAGACATATTTCAATGATTTTGCTTTATGTGTGTGAAAGATGTGTTTTTAATATAGTATTTGTACTTCCAATATCTTCAGCAAATGCGAGTTCTTTCTAAGCTTTCTTTGATTCTTTTTGATTTTTGTGTTTACAGACAAAACTAAAACTGGACAAGAACTAAGCCATTGAGAAAACTCAGCTTCAGAATGTGTACAAGTACAGTAGTCAGCGTTAATTTTGTGCACGAGCTCATGCGTCATGTTTCCCCATTCCGGTACTATGTACTTCCAGCTCCAGAACGATTATGCACAAGTTCCGGTACTTGGTCAAACAGCTTTTCAGATGACGGGGGAATTCTGGACAGTGGTAGTGGTATCAGGATTGAAGTTGGAAAATCCAAAGGCCATTCCTGTAGGAAACAGTCAAGCAGAACAATAAAAGCAAAATTGGTAGACGACGTACAACACACAAATGATCATCAAGTTGTTATGAGCCCAACTGTTGAGCTAAAACTAACTAATTTTACTGGTGGTGATAATATCACAATCCATCTGCCAGTGTCTGTGAAAATAAACGGCGACACAGAAAGCCAGAATAACACAGAGATATCAGTTTACTGTCAAACCGGCAGTCGTCATCATCTTGAAGAAATTGAACGCAACTTATGGCAGTATGAACCCGAAGACTCTGTCATCAGTATTCGAACAATGATTAGAAATCCTAATAAGACGCTCAAGATGATATTTTGTGCAGTGGTTCGTACAGTAAGAGGCCAAATATACAAGTACATTCAGCTAGGAGTAAATGTACGATTGTACGGACCACAGCATATTCAGAAGAACATGACCCTGCATTCAATCTTCACATTCAAATCAGTTTTCTTAGCAACTGATCTGGACAATGTGCCCCATCCTGTCAGCCCAGCAGCATTAATTCCTTGGCGAGATCTCCATTTTTACATCAAAAGACCACAGGTTATGCGTTTACAACTAGCAATCCAGGGGGAAAGCAAGCATTTTTGGGAGTACCCAAAAAAATTAAAAGCTATTTCCATGGATGAGATGAGGAGTCCGCACCCTGTAATTACACGTGACATCCCATTGAGCTACAGAGTTGATTCAACAAAGATGGAACCCTTCAACTTGACTCTGACGATGGAGTTAGATGAAGAAAGTCATGATCTGAGTTGCACTACACCAACTATTGGTCTAACTACTCCACTCAATGTTTTTGAGGAGACACAACCAGCTACGGAACAGCGAAGATCTTCCTTCAGTAAGAATAGTTCCCGAAGACATGACGAGCATAAGTTATACAGCTCACGGTTACATGAGAAATGCGCTGTTTGTCACCCAGAAGTTCGTGTGCCGGCCACCATATTGAAAGCAAAGAAAGATTCCACAGAGCGAGAAAATCTTCTTTCTTTCAAAAAGGGGGATCTCATCGCTGAGATCTCGTCTCCCCACTTAAGAGCATGGCGAGCAGGCAAGCATCATAAATGGGATGTTGGATGTACACAAAATGGGGTATTTGGATTCTTCGCTAAGGATCATACAGAATTATTTTCAGGGGAAGGCATTGTACCTTATTGTATAACTGGCAATATTCTAAATTTTGTAGCGATGGTATGCCGTCAGTTATCAGACTATGATAACCACGCCATCAAAGCACAGTTTCGCAAATTAGGCAGTAAATGGAAGGAATTGGCATGGGCATCTGAGATGGAAACAACCGAAATTGACGCAATTGTTGAAAATGATCCACATAATGTGACAGTACAGGCTTATCGACTTGCTGATCGGATACTGAGCGTTGAAGGAAAGGTTAAATACTTATCAACAATAGTCTCTGGTCTATACAAGATTGGACTACCACGTATGGCGCTAAATATTGTGAGAGATGCACTGCTTAATACAATTGCCAAGGTAAACAAATGACATTCTATAATAATAATGCATACAATAAGTGAACGATTGTTATTTGTGGGTTTAAGTTAATTTGTTATAGCACCATCACGAATGATGAATAAGTTTACTTTTGTTTTTTTGAACTCGCAAGGTTAACTATCAGATAAACAACTGGATGATAAGCGTTTCTATAGTTCGTGAGATTCATGTTAGTTCTGCTGTATCAGTACACAAATTTTGGCTATTTCATTATTTTTGAAAGTGCTTGTGCATAGGGACATGATTTCATGAAATTCACTGAGAATCCTTGTTTTATTAAAGTGCATGTGAAATGCAGACACATTTATGTTATTCAGAAATCCTGAAATTAATCTTTGTGAGAAAAATAAAATTGTTTAACCAAAACTGTCTTCAGCTTTATTAGCTCCGCTGTCGACTTTGTCGAGCGGAGCTTATCATATGAGTGATTGTCCGTCGTCCGTGTCAATGTTTTACTTTTTTGACTTCTTCTTGAAAACTACAAGCCTGAATGCTTTGATACTTGGTGTATATGTACCTTGGGTAGACCTCTCTCAGATTTGTTCATTTCATGATGATATCTTCAATTCTCTAATTTTGGTGAATATTTTTGTCATTTTTGGTAAAAAGTGATATTTTCAACTTCTTGTTAAAAACCGCAAGTCCAATTGCTTTGATATTACATATATAGGTACTACATGTGGATTGCTCTCAGATTTGTTCATTTTGTAATGATATCTTTAATTCTCTAATTTTGGTGAATATTTTTGGTAAAAAGTGATATTTTTGACTTCTTGTTGAAAACTGCAAGTTCAATTGCTTTGATATTACATATATAGGTACTACATGTGGACCTCTCTCAGATTTGTTCATTTCATAATGATATCTTCAATTCTCTAATTTTGGTGAATATTTTTGTAATTTTTGGTAAAAAGTGATATTTTCAACTTCTTGTTGAAAACCGCAAGTCCAATTGCTTTGATATTACATATATAGGTACTACATGTGGACCTCTCTCAGATTTGTTCATTTTGTAATGATAGCTTCAATTTTCTAATTTTGGTAAATATTTTTGTCATTTTTGGTAAAAAGTGATATTTTCGACTTCTTGTTAAAAACCTCAAGTCCAATTGCTTTGATATTACATATATAGGTACTACATGTGGACCTCTCTCAGATTTGTTCATTTTCTAATGATATCTTCTGTTCTTTAATTGCCATGTGCATTGCTAACAGCAGAGCTATCTCAGCCGACAGGCTGCTTGTTTTATATGCATTTATAATAAAATTTTGTAATTTTGTTTTCAGGCAACACTTCCTCAATATGATGCATTTTACAAGACTCTGGATGGAGTATTTGCTGAGGGAAAGTCATTGTCATCATCGTCACATTTTTACTCTTACCAGGTATAAATATACAATATACTGCAAAACTATTTATTGTATTCTTTGTAATTTTAGACCTTGTAATGCTATGAAAAATCCTATGAGCGACCATATTTGGACAAACACATCCAGGAATTTCCACTGCCTGGCAACCATCACGGTGAAAACAAAGGCCAAAACAAACTGTACTTTGGAATAGTTGTTGATAATCTTCTAAGCAGCCTAACAATTTACCCATACCTGTGCAGCATACATAAACTTTATTTCAGTAGTATAAAACAATTGCATTAATTTAATGGACCCTATAATGGGTATATTATAAAGATATCATTTGTTATCTGTGAAACTTATTGGCTTTGCTAGAGGCTACGCCCATAGTTTCTTCTCTCAGATTCTTTAGCGACATTATATCCAGGCGTGTGACATCATATTTCCCAGAATGCATTAGTTATTAATGATTCTCTAAAGCAGGGTCCATAGCACCAAGAGCCAAATGATTTCCAAGACTTTTTCAGAACTTTTCCCAACTTTCTTGGATTTTTCCAAGACATTTTGACCCTTAATTCAGGCCAACATCATCACCAAAGCTCATCAAAATTCTGAGGAAACAGGCCTTTCTAAAATGAATTAATAACTATGAAGAAATTTAAAGACTTTTCAAAAAATCCACGAAGACTTTCAAAGGATTTTCCCAACGCTATGGACCCTGTAAAGGATCTCTTGCTTTTTGGAGGATACACCTTAAAACCATTATTGACTTTCTGCTTATGATTGTTTTCATCGAGGAGAAAATAATTATATCACATCAATAATGCTAACTATTATTTTTCTTTAAAGTCCATTGATGAAAGTGAGAGTGAAATGGTGAAGAACAGTGTGGAGAAGTTGAAATCCTACTTTCTAAGTCAAGGTCGTCATGCCATACAAGTGCTGGAATGTTTGAAAAAGGCACTAGGTCACAAAGATTTTAAATCGGCCGAGTTTGAGAATTGTGAGTTTCTTACAGAGAAAGTTATGATGATCTACTTTCTCGAAACGTACCTCTGTTCCTGTAAAACAGAGGACTTGCAGATTTTCTGAAGGGGGACCCAAGTCTTACCTTTAAATGAGGAAGTGAAGACTTGGGTTCCCCGGTTAGCTTGTCCAGATCTGGACCAGAGTAGTGTAGATGTGGTTTTTATGTCTATTTACCACATAGTGTTTTTTTGGGGGGGTTTATGCTCATATTGCAATATCATTCCAATCTCAGAATAGTAAATTTAGGCTGATGTCGAAATTATTGCATGTTCAGTATGTGATATTTCCCAGTATTGAATTTAATTTTCTGATGCGTAAGTAAACTTTACTGGAAACATATTCTTAATGGGATCTTGAAGCTCTATCAAGTTTTTGGTCTGTATACAATTAATCATGCAAATGATTGAAAACTGGAAAATGTTGTTACAGTGAAAATTGAATGAATATTCATTGTGATGAGTATTTTAAGTGAGATAAACAGGAAAAAATTAAACACATATCTGTTATTAGCAAACTATTTAAATGACTTAAATTTGTTTTGTACTGTAAATTACAAGCTCAGACAGCTCATGTTTAAAAACATCCTATTGTTATTTATATGACTAACATACATCAGACACTAACATATGATCATTCATACAAAGACTACTTTCATACAAAAAGTAAGGTACACAATATTTTGGGAGGTCACATGCATTCTAATTGTTCCTAGGTAGATGACGTTCATTCTATTCTACATTCATATCAATCTGCTATCAATCAAGTACCGGTAATATATAATTACGGTATATATGATTCATTACTATGGCATGGTCTAATGACTTGAAAACAGATCTACTTTTTTATCAAATTATATGTTTATATTTTTCTATAATTTTCCTTTTCTCCATACATCAATTTGAATTAAAGTAATAAAATTTGAAAACAAATGTTATAATCACAGTAATCACAGTGAAATATCATTCTAAATGGAGGATAATTTTGATATTGAATATTTCCCCATACATCTCACTGATGTATTTGTGATTTTTGAGCACTATGGAATTTCGTCTAATCTATTTTCCAGAACAAGTTCTCATTTCAGTGAGATTGTTCATGTGTAACCTTTTCTGATATTCAATCAAGAGAAAAATTACTCTATGAATAACATTCCAAAGAGTGATGATTCAATTAATGACGTTTGTATCATTGACACGGCCTCTCAATGATAGCGTAGTGGTGGGTTACACCAAATCTATCATCAGTAGACTTTGATTCAACACGGAAAAATTGTCATCCCCAGTCTCCAAAGCCATTGTCTAAGAATCATTTTTGGTGAACTTCTTGTTAAGAGCCGGAGATGATTGTGTACGTTTGACATCAATGATACATATCAAATTGCCATAGTGATAGAAAGATGGTCACATAGCATGGAATTTGATTTTTGTTTCCAAGTGCCAAAAGGTGTCAAATGTCAATAGAAATAGCAATAGCAAAGACGTTTAGTCGCCAACAAATTGACGAAAATGAAATGTGCCTACATTATCCTGATTTCTTCCACTGAATATCTCCTATCTTATTGAAGAAAATGAAATGTGCCTACATTATCCTGATTTCTTCCACTGAATATCTCCTATCTTATTGAAGAAAATGAAATGTGCCTACATTATCCTGATTTCTTCCACTGAATATCTCCTATCAAATTGAAGAAAATGAAATGTGCCTACATTATCCTGATTTCTTCCACTGAATATCTCCTATCTTATTGAAGAAAATGAAATGTGCCTACATTATCCTGATTTCTTCCACTGAATATCTCCTATCAAATTGAAGAAAATGAAATGAGCCTACATTATCCTGATTTCTTCCACTGAATATCTCCTATCTTATTGACAGGTGTTCTTTGACATATCACTCATCTTTCTGAGAAAGTTTTTACCATGCGTGCATTAATTTAATATTTTTTTGCAATTTCAACATTTTTTGTAAATACATTTGATTCTGTTTTAGAGTTGTCTATAATAATATATCCATTTATTATATCTTTATGTATTTTAAGGATATGTAAAAAAGAAAAAAGTGAAAATTACATCCTGATTTTGTTACTGTTATATATTGAACCTTAAAAGACAAAATTTGACCGTGCAACTTGCATGCTAATGATGCTTGGAGGCAACCCTGGGTGCTCAGTTTTTCTTTTTTTGTAATTTCTTATTTGACTCTGCTGGACTGTCTACTAAAATTTAAACTTTGAAAAACTCGATTCCATTTTTACAAAAGCTTTCTGGTGTTTTTTTTTTATACGTTTTTTACTTTTAATATTTCCAATCATTTTTCTCATTGCACTTCGCATACATCTTGTAAGTTTCATTAGTTATGATAGCTGTACAATATGTACAGTGTTTATATCTAGACATGTATGTATGTTTATTTTAGGTGCAAGTTGGAGAGCAATGAGAATGTTGTAAATGTTTTCTATATTTCCCAGAATGCACTGCAAGTCAACTGGTTTGAACTGTTGTGAATGTGTCAGATTTTGTTACCAGTATACGAGGAAAAGTGAGAATGATAATGTTGAGTGATTTTTTTCGAAGCTGGTTAACGACAACCTAATTTTACAAATTTGTACGTATTTTAGCATTATATAGATTAAAAAGATTGGTGAAAAACCACAGATCATTAAGTTTCAGTGATGACACTATGGCAACAAGATTCTGTATAGCTGCTTACAAAATACTGCCCTACTACATTTCTTTATTGTAATTTTTGTTTATTTTACATAATTCAGTGTTGTAATTGTAGATGTAATGGTTAACCATATATATTTATGTACGAAAGCAATTTTAATTTTTGAAGAGGAAAGAATTTGTATATGTACAGAGACAAGTGATTTGAGGTGGATGTTTTTTATTTGTTTTTGTAGTTGGGAGCAGTATTTCCTTAATGCCATTAGGGAAAGTATATGCACTTTAATTGTCAGCAAGTATAATACAATTCCAATACGAGATATGTCAATATATATGTCAATGTTTAGTCCTCAATATTAAAATAAAGTTAAGTAAATTCTAAAGAAGTGATTTGAGGGTGATTTTCTTTCATTAAGATTACTTGTTCTCGATAATCCATTTATTTTGCTCAGTGTTTGTGTGCCCGAGTGCCCTCTCTATGATAGCCCATTTGCATTGCACTTATCAGTTGGTACCCAGTCTATGCAATGACACAAGAAGTCGTGTAGTTAGAGGTGCTGATCAAAGGCCAAACAAAATAATCTTGCATTGGTAAACCAGTCCCCTCAACTGCAAACTTTGGGAATAGTTTGCTGTCTAGGTTCATTGCAAGTGTCAACACAAGATATAATCGAAGAGAATTAAAAAACAAATAAAATCTCAAGTTTAAAGAGTGTAAGGGTCTCAACCTAAAAACCTTTCTCCATACCAGGCACTTCATTGATAGGTTATCTGCC